CCAGGACTTGAGGAGACCAGGGCCTGAGGAGACCAGGACCTGAGGAGACCAGGACCTGAGGAAACCAGGACCCGAGGAGACCAGGAGCTGGGGAGACCAGGACGTGAGGAGACCAGGGCCTGAGGAGACCAGGACCTGAAGAAACCAGGACTTGAGGAGACCACAGACTGAGGAGATCAGGGCTTGAGGAGACCAGGACCTGAGGAAACCAGGGCCTGAGGAGACCAGGACCTGAGGAGACCAAGACCGGAGGAAACCAGGACCTGAGGAAACCAGGACCTGAGGAAACCAGAACCTGAAGAAACCAGGACACAAGGAGACCAGGAGCTAGGGAGACCAGGACTTGAGGAGACCAGGACCTGAGGAGACCAGGACTTGAGGAGACCAGGACCTGAGGAAACCAGGAGCTGGGGAGACCAGGACTTGAGGAGACAAGGGCCTGAGGAGACCAGGACCTGAGGAGACCAGGACCCGAAGAAACCAGGACTTGAGGAGACCACAGACTGAGGAGATCAGGGCTTGAGGAGACCAGGACCTGAGGAAACCAGGACTTGAGGAGACCAGGACCTGAGGAGACCAGGAACTGAGGAGACCAGGGCCTGAGGAGATCAGGACTTGAGGAGACCAGGACCTTAGGAGACCAGAACCTGAGAAGACCAGGACCTGAGGAGGCCAGCAGATGGAAGATCCGAGCTATCCAGGGTTTTCCTTGCCACGTCCACTAATGCACCCCCATACCATTAGAGAAGCCTGCCTCTGAACTGTGTGCTGACAACAGGCTGGCTGGTCCCTCTCCTCTTTAGTTTTACTTATTTTTCATTGAAGAACTTTATTCTGAAATCGTTTCATAATATTTAGACAATTGTCCACAGACCAAAGAACCTCTGCCCATCTCCTCTTACTTTGTTCATACCTGACCTGTTGACAATTAACCTCATTAGTTATAAAACTCTCCTCCAGATGTTTCTTACTCGCACCGCTCACTGGTACAGATGTTTGTTGCTCCTGGTCTGAGACGCGTTGATGCCAATAAACTCTAGAGCAACTTTTTTTGAGACAAATGATTTAATTTCTCAGCTTTGACAGTTTGACACGTCTGCTCTGCTCCGCTGGGAACAAGTTGTGTTTTTGAGATTTATTTATCAATTATTTTTATTAACATTTTACACGACCCACAAACGTTTTCAGACGTTCATCTCTCTTCTAAAAACTTGAAAGTCTTACGACGAGGCGCTGAAAGAACGAAGGTCTCTGGTCTGAACTTACTTGAGTTGCGGCGCCTGTTTCTGAGCTCCGGGCCCAGAGGGGGCCGGGATGGGGCCGGGCTGGAAGGCCTGGCTGGGGGAGGTGGTGGCTGAGCGGGCTCTCTGAGGAGACCCCTGGGCCGACTGGGATGGAGAGGCTGAGGCGGAGCGGTGTCCTCCTGCAGGACGGAAACATGACACATCACCAGTTTGCTCGGTGAAACCGGTCAACAGACAAAAGAAGACTAATCGTACCTCGTCTGGGCTGCGTGGTCTGAGGAGACAGAAAAAAATACAACAATGAGGTTTTACTTCCAGAACTAAAAACATAAACTGACTGCTGGCACTACAGAGAATAAACCACCTGTTTAAAATTAAATACCTAGGATGTGGGGACACCTAGAGGCTTACAGATGCTTTGGGGGAAGGGATCATTCAGGTATACACTTGTTAAAAACAAGTTAGGCACCAAGGGATGGTCTAATTTAGGTGCAATTTAGTCCCCAATTAAACCAGCAAGGGGTAAATAAATGGTTTGATATGGACGAAGTTGTCATGTCTGGATCGGACACCAGAGGGCCTCGTTGGTCGCAGAAACAGAGGACGCTTCGTAGACACATTAGACATCATTCCCAGCACTTGGTGGAGTTTGACCAGAGTCCTTTTGTGCAGGAGGTTGGGTGATGCATCGTGTGCAGATGACCAGCGAGGTGCGTACAGATATCACAATCAGTGTTGGAACCAATGAAAACTAGAGGTTGTGAAGGTTCTGACCACCAAAGACAGGATCATTGTACTGATCACCAAGAAGCAACGAACCCCTCAACATCCAGATACAGGTACTGGACTCTGACTGTGTGTCTGGACTCCAGGTTCACAGTGTCTAACTGCCATAAACACCAGAGCGGAAATGAGGGGGTTTGGACTGACGGCGAGTGGAGTTGTACCGTTGAATCACCACAGATGACCGACGTGTGCCTGGATGGTGGCGCCAAGAAGAGTGGACCGATCCACCACGGTGCGGGGAGCCACAGAGTCTGGCTCCAGGTCATCTCTGGCACCGATTCAGCACAACACATCTGGAACATCCTGTTTTTGTATGCCGTAGCCTTCTAGAGACTCTTTAAACAACTCCCGTCCACTAAGGGCGTGTGTTTTGCTTTCATCACGTCGGTCAGATTCACCAAATCTTTCCCCGGTTAAACGTGTGGTGGTGCAGAGTGGACGTCAACCCTGACCCATTGACATTCTTCACTGGACACGGGAAGGTAGTGCTAAAGTTGAAGCTAAAACAGGACGTGCGCCCCCTTGTGGCTTTGAAGTTTAATTTTAGGGGCTATGAACCAAAATACAGCTCAGATATTTATCCAGGTTTAACGTTTCGTCTGTACGTTAAAATATGAACTTTTCTAATACGTTTCAGTGTAATTAGTTGTTGGATGCCTAAAAAGCCCCATGACTGTGTGTAGGGGGAAGGAGGCGGGGCTTAAGGCGCCACATCCCAACTGCACATACTCTGGTTCCATAAATACAACATAGCAGCGCCCGTCAGGGATATTTTGGAAGATCGGGACGATGTTTACGACCTTCGGTTGGATCTCAAGGGACATACAACACGTTGGGCTCTGTTCTGTACCTAGACGCTGGCAGGCTCATTTCCATTCCTCTGTCTGGGTGTTTCACGTTTTTAAACTGGTTGGGGGTGTTAAAAACACACTGCAAACTGGATTCTTCCCAAAAAGAAAACATCACATTTTGTTCAAACTCAGTGTTTGCTGAACTCGTTTTGAGCGGTTTACAGATCTGACCACGGATGTGAGTTCTATTTCCACAAAGTAATCGTTGCCTTGAAGATGTCCTACACATCAGTGAGTCCAGATCTGATCTCGTCAGAACTGAGATGAAACTTACTACCATGAATACGTGCAGCAGTTTTTATCCGTACCTTCACAGAGGAAGGCTGAGGCGTGGAAACTCCCAGCAGCACCTGGGCCATCTTACTGATGACCAGCTCTGTGATCAGCTGCTTGTCCTCCTCCACGTGCTCCCCGATCAGAGGCATGGAGCTGTCCATCACCTGCACAGACAGGAAGCTCACCGTGTGAAACGTTAAACCTCCACTAGATGGTGGGATTGTATATTTTAATCTGCGCCGAGCCTGAAGGGCGTCAGAGACAGTGGAGCCAAAAAGCATGAGTCACTTTGTTCACATGCAGCTGAGGTTAGAAGATAGAAGCTCCACAGCTTTAAATCCAGTTAACTACTGGATGGGACTGGCTGCTCTCCTCATTCCCAAGCACCCCGGTACTTACACACAACTGAAACCACTTCAACGCGTCTTATTTAAGGCTTAAAGACACAAGCTGGGGTTATTTATGATGAAGAACATGTTTCCCACGAAGTGAAGACGACAAACTGAATCAGTTTAATCTCATTTAGTCGTTCAAGCAGCTGTTTTTATGAGCCCACAAACCAAACACGACTGAAATCATCTCAGAGGGTAAACAGACTGCCCGTCACGTGCAAAAACACGGAGCACGTGGGTTCTGGAGACGGTCCGTCCTCCCCTCTGCAGACCAAAACAAGCCGCAGCGGAGGAGCATGGCTGCAGCGCGCCTCACAGCGCCAGGTCCAGATGTGTGCTGAGCCTCAGACCAACGGTTCCACGGCACCAGAACACGTGCGGCACATTCCTGACACGGCAGCCCGTCACTGAGCTGCAGATCCAGAGTTCACTGACGCTCGGCTGTTCTTTTTAACAAACAATGTCTTCTTCAAATGTTCAGATAATTTGAGAGAAGGGTGCTGCGACCTTTGACCTTGCTTAGACCTTTGGTTTGTCTAATTTTCCTTTGCTTCAGCTACTGAGTCTGTTTTTGTTTACTAACACCACTTAGCATTTAGCTACTGTTCTACTTTAAGATTGGTCTTTGATACTTTTAGCTAGCTTCTTCTTTTTTGCTCCTTTTAACTAGTGCCTTACTACTTGTAGCTTAAAGCTAA